AAATGAATAAATTATACATAATAATAAGTAACGATAAATGCAAACTTACCTTTAGCATGTAGCAAAGCTTCATCTATATGAGGCGGCGGCCGGATAGCTGGATTTGACTTGAACGTAACTTGTTTTAGAGAATATTCTTATTTATGGAAACCAAAAATGTCGTCCACATCCAGCCAGGCAAGTCAAGCTAGCCAGGTGGCGCTTGAAAATCGTTATGCCTTACCTCCACAAGCAGTGGACAATAAAATTGTCATGCATATGGATATACGCGAGCCATTGAGAACTTTGCAGTAAGTAAATGAATTTTTGACACGATGGTGACCACAAGAAATTTAAATTGATATTTGTCATTTTTAGGAAACTTTTGGAAAAGGAACTAAACATAAGCCTTCGTGGTTATGAATTTTGGCTCCAATACGTTCAACAAGTAAGTTCATCCACTTAGCATTAATTGTTACAATTATTTAATTCAGTTTACGGGTTTAGCTTGAACCTCACGAAAATTTAGTGGACCAATGTGTAAAACATGAAGGCTTGGTTAAAATTAATGTGGAAATCAAATACATAGTTAAACGAATCAATATTTTGGATGTCCTAAAACCCACTGAAGATGCTTTGGGTAAGTTATTGTTAAACTTGTATAAAAAATAAGTAGACATTTTTTTGAGTTTTGCAACAGCGGCTTTGAACATACAGGAAACTTGTGAAACAAATTTAAGTTCGGACGATAAACAAAGTAGGTGTAATGAAAATACGGAAGATAGCGAAGAAGGCAAAGAAGCTCCAGCCAAGAAATTTAAAGGCGATCATGCCATCGCATCAACTTCATCGAAGGAGAAACCTTGTCTTAATTGGGTATTGGATAACAAGTTTCGCAAAAAGCAGGCACGTCTTAATATTCCCAAAAATCCCTTTGAGTGGACGGTAGCTCATGTGAAACATTGGTTTGAATGGGCCATTAAGCAATTCGAATTGGTGAGTTTTTTACATATCGAAATCTATCGTTTGTCTTAACATCTTAATATTCTCAAAGACTAACTTTAATATGAACGAATGGTCAATAACGGGTCGTCAACTTTGCACACTCACTCATGAAGAGTTTCATAAGAAATTGCCTAAAGATCCTGGCAATGTATTTTGGACTCATACGCAGTTGCTAAAAGAATGTAAGTGTGTGGCTGTTCCACATAAAGCTGCTAAAAGTGGATTAATGGAAAATAACGCAGAATTAAATAAAAACACACCAGCCTTGTCTGCCATGCCACGAAAGCAAAAGATAATGCGAAAAAGTTTCCATAATACTAATTAAAGAAAGTAAGTCGTGATGGTCAAGTTGTTTAGGAAATTTCTTAAATATCCAATTGGTTAACCCTTCTTTTAGATGAAGTGACTTTAGGCTCAGATGTTACTCATAGTAAATATGGCATCGATTCCGGAAACAACGGCCAAGTAAACTTATGGCAATTCCTCCTTGAGATACTTACTGAACGCGAACATGTGGACATAATTAAATGGGTAGGTAATGATGGTGAATTTAAGCTTACTGATCCGGAACGTGTAGCTCGCCTTTTTGGGGCGAGAAAAAAAATAAACCTACTATGAATTATGAAACACTGTCGAGATCCATACGATACTATTACAATAGTAATATTATATCTAAAGTGCCCGGCCAACCTTTTACGTACAAGTTTGATTTCGAGCGGATTGTGATGATGCCATGAAGCGAATGAGGGATCATCAAACTGAAATGATGGATTTTATTATAGAAGAAAAGAAGCGTCAGCTGCAAAAAGATCCCGTTACAGATATTCGAAAACTGAAATCTCATCGACTGAATATATAAATAAATGTAATAATAATAATATATAAATAAATATATAAAAACTTAAATGTTTTT